CTTTAATATTTTACACCAGTGAATATTGTAGGCTGGATGAAGAACAATTTTTTTTTTTTTTTAAAATTGGTTGAAAAGCGCAAAAGATAAATTGTTTCATTGAAAATAAAATTTGGCAACCCCTGCACAAAAAAGATGTGGATATTTTCGTATTGAAAACATTGATATTTTTAAAGAGATTATGAAACGTTTTTTTGCTAAGTTTGGCCTAGGTGCAGGCTTATAACTTTGGCTATTATAAGGAAAATACATTGTAGAACATCCTACACTCTTTAGGAACTTTAAATATGATTTAGAAACTTTCGAGGAAAATCATAGAGACGTTCATCAATTTGTATATACGAAAGAATAATAAAAGGACATCTTTAAACATTACACTTTCACAGCTACAATCTTTTATTATTTTAATTTTGTATTATAATATTCAATGTTCTTTACAAATTATCTTTCAATCGCCTTAAAAAGACAAAACTATGTTTTTACTGCCTGAAAATAAAAAGCATTTTCAGTTTGACTTCTGTTAAGACTCTGTGAGGATATCTTAATTTACCCATCATAGATATCATCTTTAATAGCTAACACTTATTCCATAAGTAGTCTACTGCAACACTGAAATAAGAAATTGGAGATATTTCTTTTTTTTTTAAAGTGTATACAATAGTTAAACTTATAAATTACCTGCTACGATTCGTAGTATTGTGCAGACCAAAATCTTGTTCATTTTTCACTGCGATTAGATGTTTGCCTAAACCAGTAGAAGATCCAGAAGAGTCTTTTCCCATTTGACATGTACTGTACAAACATCATGTTCCCCTACTTTCATGTGGAGTCAAATCCAGAAAAAAAAGAACAATTTGATGGTGAAGAAGGGGCATACGGAGGAGTGGGGGGAGGGGGGCGATCCACCCGCTTGGCACTACACCCTAGCTACGCCACTGTACTCATGATGAATGGTTAATTGGTAGAGCTGAGTACTTTTTGCACATTATGCCCCTTTAAGTTGTCATCACAATTATTCACTTCATCGCCACTGAACTAGCATTGCTCAGATTCGCACCATTTACCCCTCTCCTGTATCCGCCACTGTAACACACCAATAGGACTTTGTTAACATAAATTACTTTTAAGCTCACATAAATAAACTAGGGCAGGGTTTTATTCATGACTTTTAGTCCTTTGTACGCCATCAAAAAAAGCTCATCGGTGCTTGATCTAATTACGTCCCGTACTCACAACACCAATAGCATATGTACCTCACCCATAACCCATGACCATAACAAAACCCAAACATGGAGCGAGCCTATGATATATGCGGGAATGCTGCTAGTCGCTGGTTGGTAGTAGTTTTTTTTATTTATATTTTCTTTAAACAAATGCACAAACGTTTATTTAGATACGTGCATGCGATACCTTTAAAGACCCAGACCCGTTTCCGTTTATGTGAAAGGGTCCTGGTAATATCCGGGTGGGTCATACTTGAGCTATCCCTGCGTACGGCTCAGCGACAGTTTGTACTCGGGATTGGGGGGGTGGGGGTGGGGGGGACGACTAGCTCGAACCGAACACATTCGTAATCGAGCCACGGTGATGCTCGAACGTCAACTTTACCGACTACCAAACCGAACGGAAGACGTTTTATCAATGTGGCACATCACTATTCACGCTAGAAATGCTTGGCTTTATTTCAAAGGAACTACTAAAAATTAATTTAAATCTTGTAACTATTAAACTTGATGAAGGCGCTCTAGACGCTAGAGTTTAACATGGGAATCAGCGTTCAACATACGGTCATAAATATTGTAAACATTCTCCGGGAAGGCATTATTAGAGTAAAAGTGGGGGTGTCAACCAATCATATTAAAAGCGTGGCCGGGATTGTTGTACGGTGATGAGTGCGTTGTTATGATTGGTTGAGACAAGTCTCGGCCACCATTCCAGGCGGGGAGAGGATTCTTAAGACATTTCGGATCATTCATTCAAAGAGCATAAGACATTAATCATAAACCCCACATGAAACTGAATGTACCCGTACTCTATATTGAAACTGTCGTGAGCCCCTCGATTATTTGAGTTATAAAATTTCCGGTGTGACATTTCCTCCAGTAGTTTTTCTTCCTCCTGAATTTCAGGAGTTTATAAAAGTAATTGTCAGTCAGTTCTTGTCCACGATCTGCAATCAGTTTGAGAGAGCTGACGTTGCATCGGCCCGGTGGCGAGCCACGAACATTGGCGCCACTTTTCAACGATAAAAACTCCGCATTTGGCCGAAGATCCCACCTTTCCATTGAAAAAAAAAAATATGTCCCGCCCGGGACTGACTACCCCCCCCAACCCCTTTCTACGCCACAAACTGTATTTATTTTGCATGAAACCATCCTGCACAAGAACCGTGCACTGATCGCGTGTTTAAAAGAGTTATGTTCAGCATGTTCTTTTTTTGCTATGTTCTTTTTTTTAAAGATAGTTATATTTTTAAATGTACATATGATTATTTATTGAAAAGCTTTAAAAAAATGTTAAATGCTATCGTTCTGTACCTAAAACAACAGCCATTCACGAATAGCACTACAAGAGAGAATTAAGCTTCAGACATTTTTTGTCTCTAAATTTACGGCGATAATTGTTGTCTAAACGGACACCTTTATCATCATTGAGTTTTTTGTTTGTTTGTTTTTTTGTTGTTGTTTTTTTTTTTTTTTTTTAAATTAAAGTTGGCGGTCAAAAAAAGGTCAAAAAAAATCAATAACGTTAAATTTATTTCTAATCATTAATCAAAATTTCCATTAAAAATGAAACTTTAACCAAAAAAAAAAAATGACAAGGAAAAGAGATACAGAAATTTAATAAAGTGGAACATGAAATGTTAAAGTAATGATAATCAAGGGAAATAACAAGGGAATTATTAAAAACGCTAAATTACGTTCCCTGGTTAATGACCTTCAAACTTATGACTCTTAAAAATAAGAAAACTACCATCAGCGCTAACGCCCTGGTCCTAATTGTCATTCGGAATCCTTGACTTAAGGCAGCTGTACTATTCTTGGAAATGCACGTCAAATTTCCAACCATGGTAAACACCTTTTGACTTGCAAAGGGGAACAAGGCATATTCGTAAAGTGTTCTCGAAAGCTCTAACACAGCATTGTCACTACCCACAGGAGCTACAGTATTCTTAAACACAAAATATTAACTTTTTTTTAAAATTGAAATTTGTCATTTTCAGGGTGTTTTGTTTCAGTAAATAAATAGTGGAACCAGATATGTTTCTTTTAAATTCAGTATGCCCATTCACAAATATATATTTTAAAATAAACAGATCTATAAAGTTAACCTACAATTTCTGATGCATGGCCCACGTGTTGAGTATGCCCGTGCGTTACGGACAACAAAAAGTCCACCAATCTACCGGGCAATTCCGCAGTTAGCCGCTTGGGCCGACTTTGGGTGGGAATAGGTTTGACAAATAACCAATCTGGGTCATGCCCCTCTGCAAGCGACGAAAAGTGACGAAAAAGAACAGACGCGATAGCATGTCAATGCCATAAGCCTTCATCTTTATGCCATTCAATGTTCAGTTCGTGAGGATTAATGGCGAAAGAACTTAACTGCTGATTTGAAAGTTGTCTTTCCTTGACCTACGAAAATAATTTACTTTGACTTTCGATTCGCAAAAAACGAAACGCAAAAAAAAAAAAAAAAAAAAAAAAAAAAAAAAAAAAAAAAAAAAAAAAAAAAAATAAAAAAAAAAAAAAAAAAAAAAAAAAAAAAAAAAAGGCATTTTATTTACCAAAATAAAGTAAATAAGGAGCAAACAATAAAAAGATTTTAAAAAATGCACATTATATCAGATTTTCAAGTTGAACATTTCAAAATAATGACACAAAATGTAATGTTAGCATTAAGGCCTCGCTGAGTCCACACAGTCCAGGAAGATATGGTATTTAAATCATCTTTCGGTAATTTCAGTGTAGCAATGATTAATAGGTCCAGGCGAAGGGGGGGGGGCACCCACCACGGGCGCCATCTTCAAAGGGAGGCAGAGTTGACATTTTTTTTTTCGTGCAAAATGTGTGCATTAATATGTACTTTGAAAGGGGAAGGGGGTGGGTGTAGGGGCAGGAAGTTGGTGACGGCGCCTAAATTGAGGCGTCTCTCTGGGTGCAGGTTTCGATTGCCCCCCTCCTAACCGTCAATTTCATTTTAAAATAATATAATAAATACTTTGTATCTTTTTACACCAAAGTGCAACGTCGCAAAGTTTAAATTATTTTCTGGACAAATAACAATATCGAGTAGTATAATTTATGCGTCTATAACCAAACATTTTTTGTGTTAACATCCATGCTTAACTTTTAAATTTTTTTTTTTTTTTTTACATTTAAAGTTTCCCTGTGGTTAATTAATAACCGCATTTTGTTTCCAGTTTGAGTTCAACTTTTGAACCAGCCACACAATAGACAAACACCTGGTGTTTGCACAGCAGCCAGGTCGGTTAGCGTGCGGGTTACTTCCGTGGGGGTCAGCATCGTCGGGTACGGGCCAAACTGACAAACCGGCGGGAAATCAGGGCCAGGGTCCGAGAAGCTGGTGACAAGTACACATAGAGACTACACAAGTACACATAGAAACTACACCTACACCGCGACCATTAGTTTAATCAAACCTGCGATAATTTTATTTGCGTAAACTTTAAAAAAAAAATTATTCTAACATAGTGATGTTGCTGTACTGCAGTGGCGGGTACTGGTGGGGGGGGGGGGGGATGGGGGTAGTGGGTGCACCGGGGGGGATTTTTTTTTCCTTACTGTTGACTTAAAATGTATTAATATATTATTAAGATCAACTAAGATCATCTATAAAAAGTTCAATGAACATTTTATTGTTTAAATTTACAAACCATTTTTTATGAGTATGCTCTTCACCTTAAAACTATTTTTTTTTTTTTCTGGACGCGCCCCCAAAATGAGTTTATAAAAGTGAATGTCAGTCAGGGCATTGCCATAGGCCATTAAATTGTTCATCCCAGTTGGCCAAACTCTTTCTCTGCCGTTTGTCTGGCTATAACTGATCTATCAGTCAAAATGTTCAAGATTCTGGTCTACGCATTTCTGTTCACCATAACAAGCTTTTGTAAGTTGAATGATTTTTTTTTTTAAATTTTACTTTTAACATTTAAAAAAAACTTTTTACTAGAAACATCGTATTTTAGTTGTGAACTAATGATCGTATTGGATAAATCCGATCAACGTTAGAGAGTGTACTGAATTATATGTGGATGAAATGATGAAAAGATGAAATAATTGGGTAAGCGAAGGATGAGTTCTAAAGAACTATAACTTCATCCTTTGTGACATTCACGCAGACAAATTTATTTTAAAGGAACAGCCAAGGTTTAATTGTTGACATAATTGTTAAATTGACGAGTGCTTAATCAATACGAAACAATTAACACGTCTTGTAGAATTAGCTTCACATCATAATTTCAGCCAATGAACGTGATTGAAACAGTCACTTTTTTTAAACATTAGAAATTCTTGTATTAATTAAAAGATTGGAGTTATATGCACACACGGAGTCATCCTTTCAAAAACTTCTTCGTTTTTTTTGTTGTTTTTTTTTTGTTTGTTTTTTTTTTAAATTGAACCCATCTTTTTTTCTAAAGTGACATCCTACGTAGAAGGATCAGCCCCGCTGGTCATTGTCTGCACGCGGTACTGTCCACCCGATCAAACCTTAGACGTGGTCAGATGTCAGTGTTTGAGCCGTGGCCCCCCAAATCCCCGTCGAGCTATCTGCCCGCTCACATCCTGTCCCAACGGCTGCTCCAGAGGCCTGGTCTTCACCACCGACCAGAGAGGGTGTCAGCGGTGTTCGTGTCGCACCCAGACTTTCTGCTCCCCTGTCCGGTGTAACATGTTTTGTCCGAACGGCCTGGCCAAGGACAGGGACGGATGTGACGTGTGCAGTTGCAGGGGCCCCGCCGTCAGACGACCCCAGAGGCCCGTTAAAGATTGGAGGCCCAAAGGTTGCGGTCCAAGGTGTTTGATCCACTGCCCCAATGGAAACGTTCTGGACGGGCGTGGATGTCCGACGTGCCGTTGTAATCCAGGACCATTGATCTTATCATAAGTCGTACAAGTTCAATGAGGACATTTCTTTCAATATTCTTACATAATTTATTTATCTATTATCAATTTTATTTTTAAAAATTGTATAGTTTTTTTTCGGATAGGGATGAAAATATTTTAATCAATTACTTAGGAAATTAGAAATATTAGCTGTGTCTTAACATTTAACATGTTTTAAGAAAGTGGGAATTAAAATAAGACATAAAATTATGGTTACCGCGTATTTTTTTTTTTATGTTGTATTGTGTTGTCCCTTTACTTTCTCTAGCTTTTTAGACAATGTTAACATACTTATTAAGGTTTATAAATAAATTTATGCTTAGTCATCGGTGAGCTACTATAACATTTATAAAAAATATTAAGTTACATTTTTTTTTTCAATCATAAATCGGCCACTTGTTCGGAAAATAATTTAATAAAATAATAGCTCAACAAATTGAGCCTCAGATCGAAAGACGCATTCCCTCGCAAAAGTTATTTTATTTGGCACTCGGCTAAAAATGGCTCTAATAAATCATTATAGTTACTGTTTACATTTTTAGATTAAGAAATGGACACTCAAAATCCGCTCCCCCACCCCACCCCCCCCGCACCCCTAATAAATACAATATTTTTTTTAAAGGCAATCACATTTTCACGACTGTCTAAGGCTAAATTCAAATTTCTTTCATTCTCCTAGTATTTAGGGGTATTTTTCTCTGTTCAAATGGCGTATCTTATTATCGATCTAGTCCTTTAATTGATTAGTCTTGCCCCTATGTATATGAGTCCCGCAGCGATTCGATTTGCTGAGTCCAGTACAGCTGTAAAAAAAAAAGGTGGGGAAGGGGGAAATGCATGATCACGAGCGTATCAACCGACCCTGGAGCCGTTTGTGAATTTAAAAAAACGTTTGAACACAGTTTTAGACAATAGGAAAATAATTAATATTAAGGACCCATCTACGCACCCACTGGAAAGAATTAGCTCCTTCAGCACTTATGGGTTAAAGTAATCCGTGTTGAGTCGAAGGCTGCACTTCGATTAATGATCCCTCATATTTGTGTGTGTGTGTGTGTGTGAGGGGGGGGGGACATATGTACCAGAGAAACTTATTAGAATGCAGACGTCAATGAAATTATTTAAGGCGCCCCCGCTTCGTCTACGCACCGTTATTTAGTAAGAGCTACAGCGTGTGGTCAATTTTTATTTCGAATATCTCTGTTAACAATCGGTTATATTCGCTTCGCCAAGTTTACTTCCTTTAAAAATTAAAGATATCACCCTACTTACTTTCACTATTGTCTTTCCAATAATCGGGCCAACTTTGACCTTGTCCCCGAGTCTTTGTTCTAAAAGAAGAAACGAATTGAAAGTGTAGTAAACATCATGTTGTCGTGCGTGCACCGCTTTGAAATGTACATGATCTTTTCTTTTTTTTTTAAACAGTTATGACAGTTTTATGACAGCAGTAGGAAAGCCGTTCTGACCCTCATAAATCTGGAGAAATTACGCATTCCCCCCCCCCCATCTCCCATCTCCCACTCCCGCTCCCTAAACCAAAAACTATGACAGTTTTATGACAGCAGTAGGAAAGCCGTTCTGACCCTCATAAATCTGGAGAAATTACGCATTCTCCCCCCCCCCATCTCCCATCTCCCACTCCCGCTCCCTAAACCAAAAACCACATTCGCCCCCTTGCACATAAATTACGAATGTGATTAAGCAACACCCACCCACCTCCACCCTCGCCTCGCTCTTGTTTTTCTTTCTTTAAGGAATAAGACGGGCGATGCCGATGCCCTTTTGTAATTAATAATCGTATCCCATGGAAACAATTTCAATGCACCGACTGATGTTTTCAATGTAGGTAAATAGCGTATGAAATAATTATTAAAAAAACTATCCATATTTTATAATTGAATGAAATATTTTGTACCCTTTTGGTGATGTTACTTTTACAAAGTCGTTACTTTTAATCCTCGTTCCACTAGCCAAACACCCTCACCAGGACATGTGCGCTGGTTAGTACGGTAGTAAAAATTTAACAACCTGTCGCCCGAACCGGAACGAAACGGCTCCAGCACACCGCTGTCCACAACACCAAGCCATTGCTCATTGAAAAAAAGACAGCCAGTAATATTTAAATTAAAAGGTTCAATATAAAACTCATTGATAATAATAAATAATAATAAAGTTTATTTGAAAATCACGCTTCATCTCCAAAGGCTCTAAAGCGCGTTACAAAGTCAACCATATTATGCTATAGGGTTTATATTTAAGGGCGGGACTCTATTAATAGAACATCCTGGCATTCAGTTTCGCCAATCTATTTAAGTGGTGGAAAGTTATTAGAGTAACATCCGGGTATTCCGTTTGGCCAATCTCTCAACACTTGTCCGTCACTTCTGTGTTAATGTGGGCCAGCAGAGTGGGTCTTAACCTGGACGAAAACTTGTTGACAGCTTCATTTTACCAAATATTTTTACACAAAAAATATATGCTTCTGCTATTTATTTGCTGGAATAAATTGTTAGCAGCCCTGATTTCCAAACCGTGTATACAAATTTTTTAACATTACGTCAATCGATGTGACATTTTACCCGACTTAGCCATGACAAACACTAATTTACGTGGATGCTGAAACATCAACGTTTATGCTTGAGCAAGAAAGAAAAAAAAATTCTTTCTACATATGATATTTCCCGGTGTATTACACAGTTTATTATGTGGTAAAGATTAGCCTCAGAGATAATATTAATTAAAGAATTATGAGACCCCCATTTGATTAAAGAGGAATAACGAGTAAAAAAATAATTAAACACATATTAACAAGACAGTTCTTATCAGAGGCGTAGCTAAGGTTAGTTCCCCCCCCCCCACCTTTACCCCCAAAAATGACTCTTCAGATGGCCAAAAAAGACTAACTCTCTCAATCATAAATAAAAAATTGATTAAAGGGGAATAACGAGTAAAAAAATAATTAAACACATATTAACAAGACAGTTCTTATCAGGGGCGTAGCTAAGGTTAGTTCCCCCCCCCCCACCTTTACCCCCAAAAATGACTCTTCAGATGGCCAAAAAAGACTAACTCTCTCAATCATAAATAAAAAAGAAGTACCGCCCGGGGTGGGGTGCCCTTCGACCACATTCTTCCTACGCCACCAACAGATCGTCTATGGATGCGCAGTGAATCCTTGCCTCAAACTACCATCGCACACAGCGCATCGATGAGTTCACGTTTTCAACTTGGCAAGCCGTCTGTGGTGATGTTTGATTTGATGGGTAAAATGTACTGTAAGGATACCACCTGAGTGTTTGCCGATCTCAAATCGAGTCATCGGGAGTCAGAACGATGCTGACAGATCCTCGACTGAACAAACGTTTTTAACCGATCCGTCTGTGAGAAAAGTCAATTTTCCTCTTGTTGGAAGAGAGATTTAGCTGTAGGTGTTAGTGGCAGCAGATTTTGTTAAGTAAACGGAAATAAACCCAAAACGGCTTCTTCGTGAAATTTAAGTAGATGTGAATTCCTGGTTAATTGGCTTTGGCTGGTAGCGGAATAACAAACAATTTAGGACTGGATGCCCGCTGGTATTGATACTGTTGAAATACTTAATTAGTCTAATGCAGCGGTTCTCAATCTGTGGGTCGCGACCCCTTAGGGGGTCGAACGAGCCTTTCACAAGGGTCGCCCAAGAGCATCGGAAAACACATATACTCTACAGTGATGACGTAGCAACGAAAATAGTTTTGTGGTTGGGGGTCGCCACAACATGAGGAACTGTATTAAAGGGTCGCGGCATTAGGAAGGTTGAGAACCACTGGTCTAAAGTTTATTTGAGTGACTTTTTTTAAATGGGTAGGTTAAAATTTTGAAGATGGTTGATAACCGTTTAAAAAAAAAAAATTGTTTCGCTTGATTATTCCGAAGAAAAAAAATTCTGGTAGGTTGTTTACTATGTATTCATACCCCAAGTCATATAGGAAGAGGGTACACAAACAATATACCAGAAGTAAGGCCATGTGAAAGCCTCCTATCTCTCTTTACATAAAGTTCTTCTTGAAGCTGCTCATATACACCCCCACAAATTGCCACAATCCTCAGTGGCATGTCGAATTTTTGTCTCACAGTATTGGAAGAGAGGATACATTTTTTTTTTTTAAAGTAACGGACATTGTAGTATGGTTTCTTCATAATCACGGTAATTTACTCTGGATTTCAAACTACGTACTCATTTACTCGTGTTGTTATGCTGTTTATCTTATTAGTTATTATTTATGTTATCACTAAGCATACATTTTAAAGAATATGGCTTCTATTTTATTAACCGATACCAAACAAATCAATTGGCTCGAAGGCTTTTTTCTCATATTATGCGTCCAATGTATGACGAAATTAATCGCACTATGAGCGCCATATCCGATGATTTTAGAGAACAAGGGAATTAATGCAATATTATTATGTTTATTATGTAAAAAAAAAAGATATGTTCACTGATTAACCTGGCCTAGAAGCTAACTTACCAGACAAGATGGCCGGGCAATCTGTCCATGTCTAAATTATCATAATAATGCATTTTTATTATTATTTGATAAGTGCCCAGAAAAAAACGGCCAAGAACTGTCAACGGTGTGGCATGGTTAAACAAGTCAACACAGATGTTTTGATCGTGCAGCTTTTCAACAAAACAATAGTTGAGTTGTCCAAAATGTATAAAATTTCGTTTCTTCACTGACAATGGCATTTGCAAGGTTTGCTCATAATTTATTTTTAGTACATTGCCCCCTTTAAATTCCCCCCTTCCAAAAAAAAAATAAAAATAAATAAATAAATGGATCCAACACCCTTTTAAATGGATACACCTCCATTAAATAGAACCACCACCCAGTTCATTGGATCCACCACCCAATTTTTTAGAACACAATTTTGTATGGCTATTTTTGCAAGGCATTTGTCTGAATATATTTTGATGTCCTTATTTTACCAGGCCCACTGCTCCCTGTTCTTTTTCCCGGAGCCTGTAATTATCAGGCGTAACCAGGTAAATATGTGCTTTAGGTAACTACAAAACGACACATGAAAGTTTGATAACTTAAGTT